ACTACAATCATAACATGAGAATTCCAGCGAGTGACCTTCCCTTTCAAATGAGGATCTCTATGTTTATGTTATTCGAACCACCACTCCTGCTTTCTTTCTTGCATGTTTTCAGTGGATTGAAGCCTGAGTCGGTTTCTTTATAAGAGTGACAGTTTGCACCTGTGTTACATTTGGCAAAATGTCAGTTTGCATCTTATGTGAGCCAATTTCCCCACATTCCACCTTACTCCCCGTATTTGTCTGAAGGGAGTCCTGCAAGCCATAACATTAGGTTGGGTTCATGCAGCCCGATGGTCTGCCGTATCTATTCCTGGCATCTTTTCCAGCCAACATCGGTCAATGGAGGCATGAGTTTACATGCTCTAAATGTAAATATGCTGAAAATAATTGTTCAGAAACGGCGGCCTTGCCAAGAAGCAAGGCTTTCTGTTGAGTAGCATTTCTCATGGCGAGGCAGTAGGTACGCTGATGCTCCCTCAGTAATGATGAGATGGCTTCTGAAACCGACACTTAATCCCATCACGTGGCCAGGGAGCACAGCAAGATCCAGCAGAGGCCCCCAGAAGAAAATGGCACTTGTCAGAAAAGGATTGTGGAATTTACTGGGTTTTTTTATTCTTCATGAGTGAAGCCGGTCAAATTCAACCAACTCCATCAGGACATGCACAGACACCTTGGGAATTTCCCCTGCAGCATATTCTGTTTTGCTGCTGAAGAGGCTAGCCTTTTATTCAGGTTGCCAACAAGGCTAATCACTTTCCAAATTTGAAAATGGGCCTGAATCTTGTGCCCTGCTAAAGAATCTTGTTTCTTCTACTTATCTTTTCTAGACTGTGTACCACAGTAGAACAGCTGGGAGCCCAGTCTTAAAAGAAACACTCACAGCTACAGAAACTCAGCACAATACCTTGCCCTCAGCTCCTGCCTCTTCTGTCTTTTCTTGAATCTTTACATTAGATTGGTTCATGTCCCCACGACCAAGGCAGGAATGCACCAGGTTTATCTACCTGTTGCATCCCTGATCAAAAGGCATGTTCCCAAACAACACCATGGACCAGGTTCACCTTAAGACAGACACCTTTTAGATAACATCCAGACACCTAACCGGATTACCATTTTCTAAGTTCACACAATACATTGACTTTGGGCAAGTTAGGGTTGAGGGGGGACCCTAATCAATGTTAATGCTAGTCTTGGGTAGGGGAGAATACTTTTGGGAAATGTCAAAGATCCCTCCCTCTTGTAGTATTTTTCTTGCCCTTGGGTGGTAGTTTTTATATCTGGCACTCCATTGAGGATTTTCTTTACCAAAGAAGAGATATCTCCAAGGTGGCCATGGGTCATATTTGACGGAGCACAATTCTTTTTCTTAGTGGCCACCAAAGAACAATCTTTGAGCCATGTCTCCTATTTAGAAGATCCTGTCTAGTGTAAGTCTGCTTTAAAAGGAAAAAAGGAAAACAGAACCAGAAGGGGAACAGTTAGAACAAAAGAACTATCTTGGTTCTTTTGTAATTCTTCCACGACATCCGGAATTTGTCTCTAAGACCTCCCAATGGACTTCCTGTTTGCTCCTTTAATAATCTGATTATCATTGCCAAAAAAAAAAAAGCCGTAAAATGGGAATGCAGAGGTCATTTTTCCTGGAAGGTTGTGACCTGCACATTTCATTCACCAAAGAATGGAGAACAGCTGCAGATGGCTTTTCCCCAGCATCTTGCGTAAATATTGAATCTGGCTTGGATTTAGAAAACTCAAAGAGCACAGTGATGCTCAAAGGTGCAAGTTTCTTGACTTAGCTAAATTGGCATTCGTTCTTTGAATTGTCTTCTTCCGACGAAGTCTCTCCTTCTGACTCTGGAAATTCAAGGCCCTTATTTGTCCATGTAATGGAACCAGAGACACTTGGAAAGAATGTGACACCCAAGCCATATTTGGCTCGTGCCCCCTAACAGGATGCATTTGCTTCTTTTCCCTAAACCCTCTAGGTGCTATCGTACCAGGAAACAATTTGCCTAGAAAATGTAAATCAAATCCGCTTATGTCTAAATTGCCCAAAATCACATTTCTCAAGCTTCCCTTTTAGTAGCTTCCCTTCCCTTTTCCTCCCTCCCAAATGTGGGTTGCTGCAGCCTCTTCACCTTATGTAGAAGACTGTTTGTAGCAGGAAGTCTCCTTCAAAGATTTCTTTGTCTAGTGGCAGGGAGGAGGGGGGTGTTCACTGAAGCACACCCTAAGGAATAAACAATGCAGAATCACCCGCTGGGCCGTGCCACATTTCCCAAATGCAGCGTCATTTGTTGACTGAAATCTGGGAAGGAGAACAATAGCATAGCGGTAAAAACTGTCCCCAGATTCACCTTCTTAAGCCTTTCTCCTGAGGTCCAGATTTTGGGACTATCTGCAAAAGCCAGCCGGCTTGCAGAGGCTCCCACTCTGCTTTTTCATCGCTGTGCTCTTATATAGGATCCTGGCATTCTTGAAGGGACCTTTGGAATCACCTGGCCAGCTGATCCCTCTGCACCTGAATGCAGAAATCAGCTTTCGGGCCAGATAGCTTCAACATCTCCAATAAAGCTGAGCCCACCACCTCCTAAAACAGACAGTTCATTTGCCAACAGTTCCAATGATAAGAACGGATCCCTAAAATCTGCATTCCCAAAAAATCCACCTGATGGTTCCAGTCTGGAGCAACAGAGCACCATATGTGTGTGTGTGGACAGCCCTTCAAACCAGTCATCATGGCTCTACTATTCCTTCTCTCCTCGAGGCTCAACATTGTCAGTCATTCAGCCACAAACATGTTGGCTTTTAAATCACTCATAATCCACCCTGCTGTGCTCTGAGCAGGTTTATAAAAAATCTACAAGAGCTGGACCACTTAAAACTCTGGGTAAGGCCTTGTGTGACAGATGCTCAATCATCATCGCCATCCCTACATGTAGAAATCTAGCACCCCAGGGCAAAGCCTTCTCCCTGATATATTAGTTTTCTAAGCAAGGCTTATGTTTGTAGGAGCATTCATCCACATGAGTAATCTGAATTCCACAAATAGACCTTATTCAAAATAATTTCAAGTTGCAGAATTTGCCTCCGTATCCCGGCTCCCCGGGATCCTTTTAAAGATCTTTTTTTAGCAGCGGCCACAACAATAAGAAATAAATATGCAGATCTCCAGAAAAAGTACCGTGCTATTGAATTATTGGCAGGAAAAACCTAGGATAATTTATTATGCTCTTTCAATTAAAAAAAAAACTGATGATAATAATGTTACTTTTGACAGAGCCCCATTGAGTTTTGGTATGAAACTGAGAGCTTAAAAAAAAACAGTCTTTAACCTCAGCACGTGTAAAGCAGCAGACCCTGAAGGAGAGGATCTCTGCTTTTCATTTTAAAGGAGAACTCAAAATACAACCCGGGCATCAATAAGCTTGTCCTCCTCATGCTCCGAAACCTATTCTTAAGTCTCCTTCAGGGCGAGCCCAACTCCTGCCATGACGTGACCATGTCTTTGTAGTTTTCTGAGCAACAATATGGAAGAGGTCTGCGTTCCATCCTCCAGGATGATTTTTGGCAGTCGGACTTATACCTCTGGAGTCTCCTGATGGCCTTCCATCCAGATCTAGCCAGGTCTGGCCCTGCTGAGCTATTTCAAAATGAACCCAAATCAGAAAGGTGCTTCTTACTGCTGCCAAATTCCCCCCTTTTCTATCCTCAGCATCTTTCAAGAACACCTTCCTTCTCCTCCTCTTCTACAAAAGCTAACTTCCTCTCCAAAAGTGCTTAGGTACCAATAGATTCTTAGCAGCAAATCCAGGCCAAGTGACCTGGCTATTGAACAATTTGGATACAGTCCCAGGGAAATATTTATTTGGGGCTGACGACGCTGGGGTGGAGGAAGTCCTCTGAAGGAATCTGCCCAGCTGTTGGCCCATTTCACAATCTCCTTCCCCAACCCTCTGGAGGCCCTCCAGCCTCCCAGACTGCTACTTTATCCTGCTACTGAATTGTGTGGGTGTGTGGGGGGGGGGTCATGGCCTGCCTCCCAAAGTTTGGGTGCTACCAGTAGAGTGTATCCACCCACCCATGTTGCAGGGTTGGAATAAAGCGATCGCTCATTTTACAGACTTCAAAATGAAGAGGAAAAAGCAAGAGAGGATTTGAAGATTAAAAAAAAAAAAAAAAGATGTTACAAATGGGCCAGCAGCATTTGATTTCAGGCTTTGGGGCTTGCCTTTCTTTGCAAAATGCAAGGGAGGATACAAGGTTGCAAACCCATAAGCAGATGCTCGGGATGGGGTAAGCCCCTGTGAATTCATGGGACTCATTTCTAAGTGGACTTGCCTAGGATAACGATCAGAAACATGCAGTTTGTTTACTGGGGCTCGCTTCTGAATAGAGCTCTTGCTCTTCTCTACATAAACTTCTTTAAAAAGCACTAATGATAATAATTGCAAATTAGCTACAACTGCCCGTTGATTGTGCTTGGAATAAACCAGAACAGCAGCAAGGAATAAGATGGTGATTATGATGATATAATAGAATAAGATCATCACATCTACAGTACTGGGGTATTTCTGAGTGGTCTATTAGTTGCGCGTTTGAAATTGACACATCTCAGCCAGCCAAATGTCTTGCGGGTGCTGTCCAGATCCAAGACATCTTCTTCTTCAAAGTTTAGGAGACTTTGCAAAGCCTCTCCCATCCCAGATGCTTTCAGAAATACCTCACGACCCCTTCATCTTCTCTGGAGGAAAGCCAGGAAAAACAGGGCAGTATTAATAAGATTGGAGAAGGTAAAGAAGACGGTAGGACCACTTTGCAACTGGCAGAGGACGGAGTTGTCTTGAACTGGGGACTCCAGAGCCATTGATTTTCTGCTTACAAAATCATCAGGCTCATTTCTTGGGAAACTAATTGGACTGACTGAGCAACCAGACTACAAAACTAAGGTGATCCATCTGATTGTTGGGACAATGTCAAAAGAATGGGAGACTCACCAAATCATTTCTCCGTAGCATATATTCAAAGGTGATGTTGCTCCAGATCAAGCTGATGTCCAATCTGCCACCGCACCTGCTTTTCTCCTCCTGAATGGTCTGCTAAAGTGTCCAGGGCTAGCACCCATAATGTTTTGGCTCGCCCTTTTTCTTCCAATTAACCCTCACAAAAAGGATTCCCGGCCTCTGGAAATCCTAGAAGGCAGGCAATGGTTTGGCTCAGCAGAGGTAGTGCAAACTTGGCTTAGAGAAGACCATCCCCAATTATTCATCTTTTCCTGGGGATCTGTTTTCCTTCACGCAAAGCCTTGGGTGGGCTCTTATTGGCATGGTACCAAATCATGCATCACCTGCCTGTAACGGGAGGGGACAGAGCCAGAAAGGTTCTGGTTACTGGAAGGATTGCTAAAGGACATGTCCCTCTCTGTGCCAAGTTTCTCTCAAAAGAACAGAGATGTCATCCATCAATGCACCAATTGCTTCTGATGCCTGTGGGCCAGCCTTCCCGCCCATTGCACTGATGCACAACCTGGGAGCACTACAATGAGGATGTGGTTAGGCCTCAGGAGTCTCTAAAATATCGTGATCTTGTTTCCCCCTTGCCTTCTGCCAACTTGGCTGGCTGTTTTGGACAGATGTGCAGAAACAGATCCTGTTGCAACAGCAGCAATGCTCCTTTCTTTTCAGGACACCATGGCCAGATCCAGACAGTGGGTTTAAGATCACCTCTTACATCCCTTGGTTCCCATCAGAAGAGCACCAGGTCTTTAAAACGGCTGCTGCTGCTGTCTTATTTTTTTCCAGAGTGACTTTGTTTCTCTCCCTTGTTTTTAGCTGCTATCAATTTGTTCCAGCAACACCCGATTTTTCCCCCTTCTTTTTCAGAGGCCAATGGGTTTTCATCCAAGCGTGTGGCATTCAACAAACAGCAAACCAAAAGACTTCTCCTGCTCTCTGAATACTGGGAGCTGACATGCAAAAGGAGGATCCGAACTGAGGGGGCAGGAAAAAACTTTGGCCAGTAAAAGAATCCTGGCTGGCTGGGGAATTCTGGGAGTTGAAGTCCACACATCTTCAAGTTGCCAAGGTTGAGAAACACTGCTGCAAAGGATGGGCTTCTGGAAAAAATGGCAAATCCCTTTCCTGTGCAGGCAGAGATGGGGAGAGAAAAATGGGATATCGGAGAGCTCAAAGGGATGCAAGAGGGAAAAAGAGAGAGACAGAGCTGGGAATGGCAGAAAGATTGCAGTTAATAAAAGACAGATTAGTTCTTTAGTTCTAACCAAAAGCAGGTAGGTGTCTGCTTACAGCCACCAGCAATCAATGCTCTGTTGGTAAGCGTCTTCGCTGGGCACAGCTTGCTTTGAGTTATATCGGGCTCTGCTCCCTCCGATTAAAAATAGTCTGGCTCTTTAATTCACTTTGGATGAATCTGCTTTAGATAAGGGGGGATCTGAGCCAAGAAAAGATGCATCCAGTAAGATGGAGGGTCACTTTGTTACACATCTGTGTTGGCCAGCTGTAACCATCTGGCTTTGAGAGGGCAGCTGTTGGGGTCAACTGCAGCTGAACCATTAAACCCTCTGAAGTGTCAATATTAGGTTTTGAACACATCGAAAGATTGAGCAGTTCTCCCAAGGCAGCAACCTTCTCTGGGCCCCAAAAGCAGCTAGACGGACGTGGGATCCCAAATATATCGGCTTAGAAGAAATGTCTTACTTTTCTTAGCCGGATATAACCATCTACTTGAGGGCCATGAACATAACTGTACTGTGAACTATAACTGCTACAATATGCAGGAAAAAGGTAATGATAACAACAATGCCATCTGTAATTGGCTAATCTCAAAACTAAACAGATGAACTCGGTTAATAAATGGATGAGAGACCACCAGGAAAGTTCAGGTTTGGAGGGTAATTGGAAAGTTGGAAATCCTCCCAAAAGAAGGGAAGAGCAAAACCATACCCAAGGACAATAACATAAACGTGGCTATGAAGTCACCGAGAGTCAAGTTCAAGTCAAAGTTTCTACCTTTTTTTTTTTTTAGATTACATATATTGGCTTCGTTCACACAATTTTCTAAGCAAACTATAAACCATGTTACGGTTTAGAAAGTTATGTGAACCCAGCTGCTGCCGTTTCTGAACTCTGAGTTTACAACTTCTCACTACACAGAACCTGATTTGGAAGCAGACGTTAATGCCTTCCTCAGTTTCCAAATCAATTCTGGCTGCAAAAATGACCATCACACCGGTTTAAGTCAGGCTTATCAATGGATTGCTCTTTACCAGTTTGCCGGTAAATCTTCATCTGTCTTAGGTTGTAAATATCGTTGCCTACTTTTAAAAGAGAAAGAAACAGCATTCTGCTATAAAAGAGAAGGGAGGAGACAGTTTAAATCTGGATCATTCCATTCCTGAAATGAAATGTTAAATATATATCATTTCCATTTCGTTGCCTGGAGGCCTTTTGGAAAAAGTTGGATCCTCTTATGCTGCCTGTTGTGACTGAGTGGAACTTTTCCCGCAGGGTGCAACAGTTGGGGGATGTTGGAAACAAGTTTTGCTTTCCCTACAATAGGCTGCGAAAAACACATAGCCCCATTTGATGGGGGGTTCAGGCCTCAAGGAAAATTGACCCAGTTCTTTGGGATTGTGGAAATAACCTAAAATGGAAATCAGTTCAGAAGCCAGGGCCAAAAATACCCCAAATTTGGCTTCCTTCAGACCTCATTCTGCTGCTGTAGACATCCGTTGTCCCCTCTCCCCAAGTCAAATCTGAGATCTTGGAAGTAAGACCCATCAACCTCTTGAACAGGTTGCACAACAAGGTTGGAAAGATAAGGAAGATCATGAATGGGAATGAAGTTGAGTCCCTGTTGGTATTGTGGATGGTTCGTGGAAAATGGAGGCTTGGCATCTGGAGGTCTTGGCAGATGGCAACCTGCTTCCTTGCCTGACCATGTTTGGGCTTGGAGGTTCAGCAGGGTGGATGGCAGGTTACCATTTGGGTCAGAGACCAGGAGGAAATCCCAGGGATGGAGGCTCACCCAGTAAGCTGAAAAAACCACATGGAAGAAGACAATGACAAACCATTTTTGGACGGTTGCTAAGAAAAATGGATGGACCTTTTCATGGACTTTCCAGCCCAACTTGAAGAAGACTTGACTATACCATCTGGCCATGCCAGGAATTGATCCCAGACCTTTCCCATCCAAAGATGATACTTAGTTTTCCTCTATGGTCTATTCCAGGGATAGGTAGCCAGGTGTCCTCCAGATGTTTTGCACAAACCCTCCCACAATGCTTTGCACTGGCCTTTTCAGCTGGAGCTGACTGGATCTGAAGCCCAAGTCTTCTTCTTTTCCTCTTCTCCTCCTTCTGCCCAGGAAAGGCAGTAACTTTTCTACCATTAGTGCCCATCAGTGGTAATATGGAGGAAAAAGCATCCAAGTCTCTTTTAGGAAACCACTTATTACCTGTTGATGCTCCTCTGTCCCCAAAAGACCATCTTCCCCAGAAGCTAGAGGGCCAACCATGCCAGCCAGCAAATCACTTTGAATTCTGCTATTAGCCATGAACGACTGGGCAGCGTGACAGGCTGCCCTTCCTCAGGCTGCCTCGAATGACAGGCATGCTGATCCAGAGTGACTGCACTGTGACAAATCAGAACTGGGGCCTTGCTCCATTCTCTGCAAAATCTTTCTAGGGGCATCAAACCTGCAAAGCTTCAACCTAAAATCATCTCCTTTGTTTGTGGCATTTTAACAAGTCTTGCATTCCTACAGAGGAACCAAAGTTCATGGACATTCGCTAGATGAGAGTCTGCACTTGAGTGCCAGGAATTTATACACACATATACACACACATACATAAGTGTTCTGTGCCCATTGGCTCCCCTGTGTCTATGACACACTTGAGTGCTATCACGCTAATGGAACAGGAAACGCGTGTTATCATTTCTGTTTAGAGGAATAGCATCAGCCACAAATCTAACAGATGAGCAAAAAGCCTGACAGGCCATTTTAGGCAATCAGAATGACTGCCAAGCCAATACACATGAGGTAGAATATTCCAAAACAGTTCTAAAAAGGAGGCTTGTATTTCTACAGAAAGATTTGTTGGATTTTTGTTGTTCTGTTCGGCCCTGCTATACAACTTTTTGCTTTCTTTTCATAGATTAGCAACAGTTTTTCCTGGGTCACACAATCACTAGATGCTGCAAAGCTTTGGAAGTGGCATCTGAAGCTCCCCTTCAAAGATCCAGCATTTTCTTTATTTTATTAAATTTATAAGCCACCCACCTCTGTGACAAGAAATCCTAGTGGGATGTTCTATCTGCATAGTGGCTGTTCGACTGCTGATCTACAGCCTGCCTCGAAAAAACCCTCCCATCCTCAAAGGAACCTGCTTTCCTTGAGTCAGACTAGCTCAGTATTGCTGGTATTGACCGAGGAGGTTGAATGAGGACGTGTTTTGGATCCATAGTTCCTCACGTAGTATAAATAGTAGTCACGTAGTATAAATAGTAGACCAGTGAGTCACAGAAGGGTCAGTGATGAAACATCGGAGGTGTTACCTTTCAACCTGGTATCCTGATCCAAACAAAGGGCAGGGATCAAATGGGAGAGTCAGGTTACAAGATTCACGGGAGAACATGTGAAGGCGATCCAGAAGCGGGTAACCACCCAGACTCCTCTGCTGCAGTAGAGGGGGATATACTTTTTCTCAAAGTTGTCCTCTGTCCATCTGCCATATTACCAGCCTGCTAGCTCATTCTTACAAGAGATGCACATCAGACTCTACTTACTGTTGAATGTGGAAGAAATTTTCAGGGCTGGGGAGGGGGTGGCCCCAGTGGCATCAGTGAAAATGACTTTTGCTTGTTGCCTGTCAGTGTCATCATGTCCTCCCCGAATGCTCCTTGAAGTGATGTTGAGCTCAGAGTCCTTCAAGGAGGACTTTCTCAAGAAGGGGAATTTTCTTGCCCCTCAGTGGAATCTCCCCACTCCATTCATGCCCCTAAAATCAGGTGAAGGAAACAGGGACCTTGGGTCAGTCCCAAGACAGGTCATCCAGCAGTAAAGACCGAAGCCTGGGAATTCCCCTCAACTGATACCTTCTCCCATGGCAATGGGCTATCACAATGTGACTTCAGCACAAGATACCTGAAGAACCATTTTCTCCAACGTGAACCTGTCCACTCTGGGGGTAGAACACAGACTGAGGCCTCATTTGCGGTGGTGCTTCAGTTGTAAAATTACCTGCTTGGTTAAATCAAGTCATAACTTTGCTGGAGCATTTTGCAGTGATGACAGGTTATGTCTTCTGCTAGCGTTCAATGAATCAGCCAATCTTGCCTAGGAAGCTGGAACCAGAGGGAATAATTGGACTGTGTATTTAATAGTTTGATGATGATTGTTGGGGCTTCTTGGATAGTTCTGTAAGCCTTTGTAGCAGAACGGAGGGGGGGAAAACCTGCTTTATTTGCAGGCTCCAGATTCAATCCTTGTCACCTACAGATTGAAACAGATGAAGTCCATTCTAAATTGATTGACCAATTTAACATACAGCGGCTTCCTGTCTGTTCATAGTTTTTCACCTCTTTGTCTTCTGCAAGGCTTGCCTAAAATGGACCAAGTCCAGCTATGCACTCTTCTTAAGTGGGATGACTCTTCGTGCCACATTCAGATTTGTTTTCATCAGGGTTTGCTGAATAAATCACAGCTGGCCATTTTGCAAGACATCCTAAACCCAGATCAAATCCCCTTGCAATTGGGATTTTGTAAATCTGACTAAGTTAACTTAACTATGATCTATTAGGTATACTACAGTTGGCTGAGTTCACAGAATGCACTAAGCCAAAAATCATGGCTGCCCTCTCCCCCCTCCCTTCCCCCTGGCTTTAAACTAGCTGTTTAGCTTTGCTTCGCTGAAAGACTGAGAGATGTGTTTGGATAGCATTTTTTCCTTTCCTCATCTCTTCTTTGGACTCTTCTGCTGTACGTCAGATTCTCCAAGAAAGGCACAAAGTTGGCCACCTGGTGTATCAAACACATAATTTCCCAAGTCTGCTGGTTCTCAAGGACAGCTCTGGAAACACAGTGTGGGAACCTGGGCATCAGTATCAGCAACCTGTAGCGGCCAGTAGCTGCAGTCCCCAAAGAGTTTCCAACCCACACTTGTGGTTTTCCATGGAGACTTTGGAAGAGAGGTGGAAACCTGGCAGGAGAAGACAGGCCACAGGAGAAGACAGGCTGCAGCTGCCTGTTGGGAAAGAGAGACACGCTTTCCACGTGCACAGAGAGAAGGCTGTTCATTCACCTCTAAAAGATAGGACACGGCGAAGGAATGGTAGGGGTGGGCTAAGTAGATGTGGTAAAAGACAGAAGGTGGGCTTTGAGAGCCAATGGGATGAGGTACTAAGCTACAATTGGGGGAGTCTGTGCATAAAGATAAAATTCTTCTTCAAGTCCAGCTTGACTCCTGACTTCACGGACGCATCACCTTGAGGATTTGTTTTTTCCTTCCCAATCTAGCCTACTGCCCTGGGATATCCTAGTGGCCTTCCATCCCAGGCCTAACCTGAATTTGGCGTTTTCAGATCAGTCAACATCAACTCAGTTTGCACCTTAAGCAGTCAAAACGGGGGGACCCAGTTTCAAACCTCATTCCACCTTGGTATCTGATTTCTACACATGTCTGATCTACTTTGCAGGGTTGCTGAGAGGACAACATGGCAGACTGTGCCTGGCCCTTGGCATAAATAACAATGGAATTATTTAAAAAAAAAATCACAGAACCCACAAGATGATTCTCCTCTGTCTTCATGCCCCACCAGTCACCAGTCAATTATTTTGGGTCTTCTGAACCAGCAGACATATGAAGTTGAATCACCCAGATAGGGTTACTCAAAATTCAAGGAAGCCAGATGTAACTCCTTGGCCAACATTACCGCTTGCAACACAACTGATATCATAATAACCACACTGAAGATTGGAGGGGGGTATGAGGGGTCCAGAAATTTGATCTTCAATCCATGCATGCTCAGGAGAAGCTTGGAAGATTTTAAGCCCTTTGACTTCTGTCTCTTGGCCTGCAGTTAAGTTGCCAACTTCCCCCCAGGACTCTGCAGCTGTGCTTTTTGACAGCACTCAACTTGGCAGAGAGGGTCTGGAACTGGCAACCAAATGAGATTGGGCTACGGATACTTTGCAGATGGCACCCAGAGTGTGCCAATTTCTTTGCAGAGCCTGGCCCCGTGTGCAAACCGAGCCCCCACTTTTGTATGAAAGGCAACTGATTTTGAGTTATGCATGAAAAAGTTTGCATCACGCTAGTCTGCAAAAAAATGCCAAATATCTCCAGGCAGATGTGGATTTCTCCATCATTTGCACATGTGTATGTGTGTGTGGTTTGGCTCTTGCGAGAGGTTACTAGGAAAAACAACAGCTTTCTATATCCACTGCGCAACTTAGCAGGATAGATGGTGTTGAGATTGGAAGGAAATTCTCAGTTTTGTTTTTTCAGTTCTCTGCACTGGGAGATTTGTCACTCAGTCTGACCAAAAGATGATGGAAATTTGGAAAACCAACTGTTGCATTTATACAAACCCATCACAGTTCTACTCTTTGTGAGGTGTCATTTGGTCAGGGAAATGGAAGTGACCTCTGGGGGTGGGGGGAAATAAAATAAAATCTTCAAAGTTAAATTCTGAAAAGCAGAAGAATTTGGTAAAATTGAAGGCGTTTACTGTGACATCTCCGCGTGGAAAAAATGATACTTTCCTCCCACCCTTGGCTGGGATAGTAGTAAAAATACAGTCAATTGCTAAAGCATTGGTATATTTTATAAAGGGAGAGGATGTGAAGAATGCCATCATTTTAGACACCTTGAAGAAACTAGGGTAGGCTGCAAGTACAATTGGTTTGCATTGAATTTTTCCAAAGGGAAACTACTATAACAGAATAACACACTGCAGAGATTAAAAGGAGCCTCACCTATAAAGTGAAATATTGGCGAAGTTGCTTGGGGAAAATATGATAGATACCTAATTTCAGCTTTGACTGGATCAATAAATCCCTTATTATAAGAACTGATTTGCCCATTTTTCCCTCCTCTGCATCAGCTGCCTCATGAGAAATTAATCCACCACAATCTTTCCAACCCTGGGTCTCCAGGCCAGGAAAAACTTTGCTTGCTGAATACCAGTGGCTTGTGAAATTTCTAAAAATTTCACAGGAGCTTTCCTCGGGGGGCGGGGGGAAGTTGGCCACCTCCAGTCAACTTTCAACAGTTCATTTGAAGCTTTTAAAAAATCTCATTGGAGTCAGGGGGATTTATCTCCAAGAATAAAAAATAAATACAGGGGATGAAGGTATAAGTTTCAAGTGAGATGGATTTACTATATGCTTAACTTTTTTTTTTTTACAAAAAGGGCTTGGTTCCTGCATAATTTAACATAGCTAGAAATTTGAACAAACAGCTTCAACAATCTCCCTTCTAAATTACTATATATCAAGGCTACTGGGGTTGCCAACTTCCTCCCAGCAGACAGATCTTCCCCCTTCTACCCAGCACCGAGATCACACTCTCTTGCTCATCCTTGCCCACCAAAGAAACTGAACAAGCTGCCAACTTCTTCAGAGGACAGGCGCTGAGGTAGTTTGAAATAAGCTGGCACAATCCCTTTCTGCCGCCTGCCACTAGATTTCGCCCTCCCCGCTGAGAGTCAGCCCTGGCGAGGGGAGGGGAAAGGACTTTCTGCTCCAGCCACTCCTGCCAGAAAGGATTCATGACTCGGGGGAGAGAGAGGGAAATTAAAAAAAAAAGAAAGGAAAGGAAAGGAAAAGAGAGGGACAGAAAGTAACTTGCGGAGATTTCGCAACAGCACGGGGAGGGGAAAAATATGTATATGCTTCAAAGCTGGGGAGGGTAGCTATCCTAGTCAAGGCCAGGGTAGGATAAAAGCACCATCAGCTCTCCGGCTGCAAGGCATGAAAATATGCCTCAGTCCAGACACACGCTTGGCCTTGCCAATGTCAAGGCGGCGGGTTTAGGGTAACTGCTGCCGATCCGGAGAGGACTTGCTATGAGTTCCCCAATCCCACTGCTTCTGATTCTCTGCCTGCACGGGGTCCTGGGCCAAAGTCCTCAAAGAGGTGAGTGGCTTCCAAGGAGATTGGGGTGGAGGATCGGGTTTGGGGTTTGGATTCTGGGGAGGAGATCTCGCAAAGCCCACTGTTGGCAGGTCTGCAGGGATGCAAATGCAGTGGGGCATTAAGAGACTTGCTAGTTCAAGGGGTGCTCTGGAAAAGGCTTTCTGGTTTGAGGAAAGGAAGGTGGAGATTGGGTAAACTGCCTTCCTATTTCTCAGCACATGCTTCAGAGGAGAAACAAATGCAACCCCAAAGCTTGAGATTTTTTACCCATGTAAGGTCGGTCAAGCCATGCCAGGTCTCTGCCCCATGGCAGTTCCAAGGCTCAAGTTCTCATGAAGCCCTAGCAAGCATCCGAGAAATTGGAGGGGTGGGGGGATACAGCGGGGGTCTTTATTCTGTATGTTGTTTTGGATGAATTTTGTGTGAACCTGATGGGCGAGAAGCTGAGAGAAGGCAGAACCTGCTTCGGAAAGGACCAGCTTTAGTTTAGCTAGGAAGGAAAACCTCCTCCTGGAGTTATGCAGCGAGACTCCCCAAGGTCTGGCTGCCTGGGGAGGATGGGGCTCTACAGTCCAAGACAGCTAAAAGGCATCTGACGGGAAACTGAGGAGCAGGGAGACTTAAAGGGATTGCTTAGATGCAGATGTTGATCCATTCATCCATCCGTCCAACCTAGTATGGGCTGCTGCTGCTGATGGAAACCAGGTTTCAAGCAGAGAAGGATGTTTCCCGGAGTGACATGAGATCCTTTTCACTTGGAAGTGGCTGGAAACTTCTGGGTGCATAGTGGCTGCCCTGTCACTGAGTCACATTAGGTATGATAGGTGAAACTTTTGGGCCCATTTAAGCCAGTATTATCTGCTCTGGCTGGAATCTTCCTCGAAGGTCTCGGCCCCTTCATTCTTTGAATCTGGAGCTTCTGGTTGCTGAATTTGAGGCTTCCTGCAAGCAAGGCAGAGGCTGTGCTGGAAAATTGGACTCCATCCTGCTTGGCTCCAAAAATCGAGGTTAAATAGGTGGTCACTCTGAAGGTGACATTTTCTGGAGAACTCTCTGACCCAAAGCCAAAACGTGTGGTCCTGATGCAGCGGAAATCAATGTTGGCCAAATCTGCCTCTTAATTTATATGTCAGCGCTTATTCCAATCTCCCAAATAACTTTTGTGCCATATGAACCCTTTCTTTCTTGAGGTGCGTTTGCTCTTACTCACAGCCTGTAGTGGGGTCAAGTTGCATTTCTACACCTTGGTTCCTATATGGTTATTGTCAGTGTTGGCTGGGGATGATAGGAGATATGATGACAGTCAGGTTTCTTTACAACAAGCTTCTGAGAGCAGTGAAATTAAAAAGATGTTCCAGTAAAGAAAAAGAATCATCCTTTTTGTAGCTCTCCTATGCTTCGTCATTCTTCAAGTGCTTCACAACCCAACAGCCATCTTCAGCTCTGTGTGAAGAGCTGTCCCATGGTTGAGGGGGCCAAAGTATTTCTTTTGCTGTTTACCCAGACAGGTAAGCTCCTGAGCTGACGAGACAGGGAATCTTGACTATAGCTGTGGAAAAATCTTTGGAGATAAAGGGCAATTTTGTAGTGGGCGTGGATTTTCCTTCTCCGTACCAGCAAGAGAGTAAACTACGTGGCTTTTAGGTCTCCTCCAACTGTAACAAGGTGACATCTTGGCAAGGGAAGAGATGTTGCACTTCTTTCTCTGTTCCTTTTTCCAAGTTCCTCTATGCTACTTTTTCTTCTCCTTTAGGTTTGGAGGATGGGGGGGAAGAGAGAGAGATGTATCCAGAGGATTTATGCTGATCTGTTCAGTATAGGGTGGGAAGGATGCTTCAAATTAACTTAGTTCTATGCATGACAGGCTGATATTTGAAGGGCTTGAGAAATTATCTCTTCCTGTAATTCCCGTCTTAAGCAACAAGATTTTTTAAAATTACCTCTAACTTTTTCTGCTGATGCAAGGGAAGTTCAGCTGCACATCTTTCTATGCATGTTTGCTTTCTGAAGAAATGGGCACAGTCACACTGGAGACCAGGAACTATAACTGGAGCAGGGATAAATCCCTGCTTTGTTTAATCTGATGTTTAAATTTGAAAAAGCTCCAGAAGTGATTTGTGTAAAATCAAAGAAAAAGAAAGTAGGCTGTCCCTGCAGGCTTATGATCTCAAAGACATGATGCAAAGGGCAAGGGAGATGGGAACAGAAGATGAAAAAACACAAACGCAAGTCCAAGTTCTTATAAACCATTTGGAACAGTTTTCTGATATAATCTAGCCCATGTCCACTCTGAACTAACCCTGTACAGCTTCAGCACTGCAGCCCTAATTTTTAAACCATTTTGTCCTAGATAAGATTGTCTCTAACACGCTACTGATTGGTGGCACTTGCCCAGTCGGTTTCACCATATCACAAGAAATCTAACAGCTGCATTTGTGCCAGGCTTCATCTGGTTTTGCCTTCATCTAAGTGGGCTTTCAGATCAGCCTTTTGGTTGGTTTGAGTTCACTGGGTTGTGCGAACCCAGAAAGCGGGCTAATTCAGCAACAGGTTTAAGGGTGCTGTGTGAACGCAGCCGTCGTGTTGACAGGATGGTTTGCCCAAAGGGAACGGCGGTTAGTCCAAACTTTGTAATTGTGGGCTACAAGAATGCACTTTTTCGAGAACTGGGGGCCATTCTTTCTCTGAGCTGACAAGCCCAGTCCCAATTTTATTTTATTTATTTATAAACCCTGGGGGTTTGGTAGTACAGTAGCAGCTCTTGGTTCCACTTTTGAGAAACTGTGGCAACTGATGTACAAAGATATGGCATCACAGTTCTGGCACCCAGTTGTCCCCCCCCCCGGCATCTAATGCCCACATTCACTGCATCGCCACTTGCCTTTTGTCACCCACTTGTAAGGCCTGATAGAAATGCAAACGTTTTGCTGACATAGCAGGACATTTGCCTTTGCTTATGTCTTGCTGGAAAAAAAGAGCAATTCTAAAAGGTCATATGGGAGGAGGAAGAGGAAGAGAAAGATCAATGTTAACGTTGACGTTTTGCAGCTAGTCACACACACAGCCATCTAAAGGGGGAGCACCAATGAGTCCGAGGCCCCAAATTATCTATTGAATGGTGGACTGTATCTAAATATTTCCATTCAGTCCTCCTAGCCAAAAGCCATTCTCCGCTTCTGTGAATTTGTCTAATCTGCTTTTGCCCTCTAGATATGTTAGGTTTCAATGCCCATAATTCTCTTTGGCTGCACAGGCTAAGAATTCTGGGAATTCGCTACAGCTAGCATCCTACACAGCTAGAATCTGCACACACAATCCCACAGTGATCCACATCTGGAAAAAAAGAAATGGGGCAATGGGATTTCTGGAAATCTGAGCAGAACTCCCAGTGAAGCCAAACAGTGGGGTTTGCATTGTCCTCTGCACTCCAAAAATGAAAGCCAGTTGGCTTCAGACACCCTTTTGGGAAGGAAAGCTTGCTTTGCACCCTCGTTAGGTTACCAGGAATGTGACAGTTTAATTGCTGATCCTGCAACTGTGTAACTCAAACAGGCCGGAAAACCATGGACTCCAAAGTTTAATTAATGCGTTTTTCATTCCTAATTTCCCACAAACATCCCCAGGTTTGGCCAATATTTAACATCTTCTAGACAGACATCTTCCAATTGGGAAGCGATCCAGGTGAGGATCAACTCCTTGCCTACGCAAGCCAGGTTTCCAGTCCAGACTAGGGTCTCCTGTTCTGAATGAAAGAACAATTCACTTGGCCCACACCCCATCCTATGACTCTGAGGGAGATGAAACAACCCTCACTTTCTAGGCACAAATCATTTCCAGACAAAAGCTGCCTTTTCTCCTTCAATGCCGGCTTATAGGCAAGTGGGTGCAAATGTTGTGGGTGGACCAGCCCAGAGCTAATGTTGCTAATTCTACACAACCAGGCTGGAAGCATACCCTGGAATCTTTAGTCATCTGCCAGAAACCAAGGATGCTGACAAGGACCTAAGATGTACAGTATCATCCCCTCCAGCTTTCCTTTAAAGCAACTTTCCATTTCCACCAACATCCCACTAAGGGCTACAAAATCATGGCTGTGCCACAGGTTTCTCCTTCAAACCCTATCCCGTCCTACATTTTCTTGGGAGAAGGCCTTGCTCCACCCAGCAGAAATTACAGTTCCTGTTTGAAGTCTATGCAGAGTGGATTTTTTTTACAACAGTAACGCCTTGGACTAACCTTAAAGAGGCACACATTTATGACCCCATAGCTACAGTTCCCCAAAGCTGATGTCCTCCTAAAATTGCTTGTCCTTAATCTGTCGCTGAATTTTCTTGTGCAATCAGAACAGCCATTTGTTCCATGGGAAAAAGAAATCTGCAAAACGATTAACCAGGACCAACCAACATGCCATGCAAAAGAAATGTATGCATTTTCATGTTCTCGTCATCTGGCAATACAGGACAAAAGCAGAAAGGGGGAATCAAAGATAGATAGATAGATAGATAGATAGATAGATAGATAGATAGATAGATAGATAGATAAACAGCTGCCTCCCTGGAAATTGTTAAAACTTCCTCAGCCAAGTGACATCACCCTAACTAGCATCCTGTTTTAACAACAGCCTCTTGGAAGTCCCCAAGAAACATATAAACAGGATGTGAAGCTCTTCCAGTTTGCCCCCAGTGCTATACTATTTAGTGGTATACTCCCCTTGTACACGGAGGTTCCATGTTGTTCTTTGAACTTTCAGTAAGTCTTAGAGCTCTGTTTCCCCCCTGAAACCACAGGATCTGGGAAGGAAAAAAGCCATGAAAGGTCTAGGGTAGTCTGCGCAGCGAAGAGAACCAACCGGCTTCTCTTCCCTGACCGTGCTACGTTCTTGCATGTGTTCTGATCAGAACGTGGAAGAAATGGGTAGAAATCAAGAGGCAAAACACGTGCGCAGACCCGCAACGGGAACAACACAGCCCTCACCCCAGCCTTTGCCTGCTGAGAAATCAAGGCAGGCAGGCGTGATGACAGAATTAGCTGGTTGGTTGCTTCGCTTGGGAGCCCAGAAAAGCTCACCCAGGAAAATGAAATGACTTTGTAAAAAGGCAAACATGGCTGGCTGTACGAGAGATGGGGTGGTAACTCAGCAACACTAGCTTTTGAAGTAGGAAGGGCTGTGTCCAGTCCCTCCCTTTTTCAGCAGAAAGGATCCAGGGATAGGAAAATGCCTCTTGCCAAATAAAATTGGAGAGCTATTCCTTATTAGGAACTCTACTGGGCAACCTAGCAAATACTAGTGAACTGTCTCCTTTGTTAAGGGAATAATAGGGCAATCAGATAAGAGGGAATGCAAGCCAAAATGACATAGACTACCCTGAGCCTTCTGCGGGAACTCAGTCAAAATATTGCTGGAATTATAACTGATGCTGGACATCAGTGACAGACTTAATATAATAAGGTTTGCTTTGCGTTCTGTCTCAGCTTAACTGCTCCCAGTGCTGGTATATTTCTTCCTTGTCGTCCCGGACTGCGCATATGGCCAGAGGAAAGGTTAATTATTAAAAAGCACAATTTAGTGCCTTCCTTTAATGCAATGCTCCGGAAAAGGAGTAGCTCTGTTTATTTTTGATGGCCAAATTCTCCATCTTTGCTGGAATTCCAGGAAGAATCCAGATCGGGAGAACTTCGGGACGTTTGGAACTTGATGTGATGGAATGGGATTATGAAGGCCAGACTCAGGGAGAAAAACATTGTCTTTCATCTCCTGAAGCGCGAGGGAGAGATAAGAGGATGAGACTGGCACCTCCCTGAGGAATTCACAATGTTGTGGGTGGCATTACTTGGG